TTTGAAGTTTCCACTCTTCTACACAATGCACCCACTAAAAGAAAACCTCAAGAACTATCCACTGGAAATTTATCCTTAAACTTTTATGCAAGTACACCTTGACAAAAAAAGGTTGAAACTACTGATGAATCTATGTGTCCAGTCACTACAAAGTGCATTATCACAAAAACTAAGACTGGAATAAGCTTGCATAAAACCATCCCACAGTTCAAGATCAGACCTGACCATAAACCTGCACCCATTCAGCTTCTTCCCAGAGTCTGAGGGGACCGTATTCCAGGCAGCTTGGATGGCTGGCTAGAAAAAGGGTGTGAGCCAGCATTTTCTGCTCCTTGATCCCATAGCTTAAAAGATGGCCCCCCTCCTAATACACCAAATGTACAAAAATACTCTACAAAAAATATAGACCACAGATACCATTACAAAAAATGAGGGTGAACAATAAAATTCACAGTGAGATGCAGCACAGTCTGTAAAAGGTAGTACCAAGTGTACTTGCATCCCAAAGTTCATCGTGTTCCTTTTACGCAAGCGAAACAAACCCACCACCCCCCAGTCCTCTCCAAAACTAAATTTTTGCTTTAACTCTTGATCTGGTTTTTAAGCACACCACTTCTTCAGAGCCTGTTGGTGCTTTTCTGGCACTGGCCAGACAGGATTTCTGTCCCTGCTTCTAAGCTGAGCACTGGAGTTGGGGGTAGCTCCAATCCACAGTGTATGAGGGGAAGGGGGCTCACTGCAAGGCAGATCAGAGGCTAAATCCTGGTCCTGGTTGGCTCTTTTAATTTTCTTCTTGTTTTTAAAAAAGTTCAAGGGCCAAGTCTCTTCTATGGTCCCTCATATTGAGCTGTGAGTGGGTAGAGGTAATGGTAAAAATGTCTTCAGGATCAACACTTCTTTCATTTATGAAGGAGAAGAAAAATAGTTAAAATGCAGAGTATTTTTAAAGTTTTGTTCCTAAACTTATATCTACATACCTGAGTAGAAATTAAATTATTTTGAAAAAGTTCTTGGAACATTCACTTACTCAAGGAAGGTACACCAGTGCCTTGAATATTAAATTCTGCTCCTCAAAAGACCATGAGGTGGATTTCTGTGCCTGGGGAATTTGAACCCTGTTACACTTAAGGCCTTTTTAAAATGCTGCTCTATGCCTAACTGGAGACTAGGGAGCCTAAATCTAAACACCATTTGTTTCCAACATTTTGGTCTCAACTACAATTAATTTTTAAAATGTAACTAAATATGCACACCATGATTTCTAGGTATTACTATGAAGACAACCTCAGCAGAGGGTTGAATCACCATTTTGATGCAATTATCTCCAGACTCAAACTGAAGTACTCCAGCAGGCCGGTCTGAGGCATCTCTAAAACTCCTAGGCCTGTATCCTTCACCCCTAACAGGCAACAGAAAAAAACCCCTAAACAGCTAGTCCAAGAACAACTCAATTCTCTTGCAATGTCTACAACTAAATTCAATAAAGCATTGAGATGTCCTATATGAGCCTCTTTTGCTTTCCCCAAATCAAAAGCATTTTATTTCATACTTAAAATACACCTGGTTGATTCTAGAAGTAATACTAAGCCTGGTTCTACTTTGTGTTATACCTGTTAAATATTTTCAGCAGACTGGATTTCCACATCCTCTCCTGAAGTGCAATCAAACCATCTGGGTACCCTGTGCAAGCCCCACAGAAACACACTAAACCCAGGACCTCACATAGCATTTAATAAAATCTTATTAGGATTGGCCTCTCTCAAAATTGATGTGACACACATTTTTTTATTATTTCACTGCAGATATACCTTACCAGAAAAGGCTTGGCAATGATGACAGATCCTGTGAGAATTTTCAAGAGCATATCCCAGTGATTACTACAATGGCTGATTTTATAACTGCGAGAAAATGTCTCTATTTTAACAACCCTGTGTTTTATGTTCTGAACTGTACAGGATTTTTTTTCTGTTCCATTTTACTGTAGTACACTAAAACATTACGTGTGTGCGCAGGAGATCATACAACTACACCCTTCAACTAACCTCTTTTAAAAAAGTTGAAGCCAACACAGATGGTCCCTTTCAAATAAAACATGGACATTTTCTTCTAAAGACCATCTAGAAAGAAAACCACTGGCATCAGAACAGTTTAGCTCTGTTCATCTAACGACGAGATGGCACAACCCACAACCTTTCACCAGGTCATGCATCCAATACCTACTATCCTTCCACTTCTGATACTGAAACTTAACACCAAGGATGCCAAACCATAAACATATACTGGGAAACTTATCATGACAAAGACATTGTTCATAACCATCTCAAGCAGCTTTTCTTTTTGTCCCACTTCGAGGTTCAGTTCTCAACCTGACAAGGTACAAACTGCTTGTTCAGTTAAGGCAAAAAGCCAAAAACCTCATTTGGTTCATCTACACCCGATCAACACAATGTTTCTGTGGAACATTTATTACACTAATTGCTGAACAAGCACCTGTTATTTGTGGTCATGGACCACATTAGCATTCCCAAGTAATAAGACAAACAACAAGAAATGAACCTTAGAGAAGCAGCTTGGTGCAATGCACAGCTACCAAGAGCAGACGCAGGAAATATGGAGGATAATCTCCAAATTTAAGTTCATCTCCTAAGAGCTACAGGTATGAACATTTAAACAGATCAAGTGACATTATTGATGTCTAAATTGTATGGCAATACCATTTGTGTATTGTATGGCCTTTGCCTTGAGCAAATAAACATCCTCTATAGTTAAGGATGGAATGGAAGCTCTGTCCAGGGCTGCTAAATTTCCAAAACACTTTTGCAGGACTAATATATATATATATCTATAAATTCACTGCTGCAGGCAGTAATAGCTAAGCTTAAATGTCACTGTGATAAAAGTCTTGCTTAGCTCATAGTGCACTGTGAAAGATGTAGAGCTGCCCATTGCTCCAATGACTCCCTACATGGACCAAAGAATTCTAAATTACTTAATTAAAACAGCCATGTTGTAATCTGTCTGTATGCCCTAAGTGTGGCACTATGTCACAACCATCATACATGAGTGGATTGTTAATATTGTTTTAACCTAAATACAAGTCTCGGTAAAGTAAAAAAGACTAATGATCACATTTGTATGTTTTTCAATGTCACATTACAAATGTTTAGCAGAACAGAGCAGCTGTGTTTGCACCTGCACTTCATGAGGTGACAGTGATTACGTCACAGTGTGTAAAAGTGTGGCTGTTGGTACTTACCAGACAACACAGTGTTCAGATGATACCATGGAGCGATACCAAATCACCTCAAGAGTCAGTCTGAGTGCACAAGGCACCAAGTTTTTCTATTGATTTCTGTGAGCAAGACGTTGTGTATTTGTAAAAGACCTATTACATACATATATTTGCAGTTTATAATGAACCTGGTTTATGAAGGTTATACAGCAATGAAAACTATATCCACAACTGGTACCAGGTTGTTTTAGCAAAAGAAAGAACTTACCTGTCTGGAAATAGAACACTTGACAAACAACATTCACAAAATACTTCTGCACCAGTATCTACTGGAGTTTCCACCAGCATCTCTCCAACTAGTGTGTCCTCACAAAGCTAGTAAGAGAAAGTGGCACAAAGGCTAATATCAGTCCAGCTCACTTTCTACTGCCTACAGTTTTATGATTCACATTTTCAATTTAATATTCACATCCTCAGACCATCAAAGAGCTCAGACACATCTGCAGCATGAAGCCCCTCTAGCTTTACAGGTGAAAATGAGTCATATCATCAAAAGTTAGTATCATGCCTCTGATTCTGAAAATACTCTGGAAGACATGTAAGTAGGGAAAATGTATTAGGAATAAGGGGGAGAAAACTGCTAAGAAATCTAATTAAAGAGAAATTTTGGACTGTTATTCAAAAAGCATTATACTGTCTGTACAGTGTGAAAAGTCCTGTTTTCCTTAGCAGAAGAAAGGGAAAAAGCCTAGAAATTAAGAGTGGATTCTCAATCATAATAACATCAACATTGTGAATGTTGCCAGATATTAAATGAAGAAAGAATAGGTGTAATCTGTAAACCAAGGACTGATATCAGCAAACTTAAAGCAAACCCACCTTCTATCACTAGCTCAGCAAGAGAGGTCAGCCTAGGAAACTGATTCTGTCAGGCTTTTATACCTTAGTCTCAGAGATTCTCACAACATCTGAAAACACAGCATTGATATTTAAATATCAGTATCGTAAAAACCCAAAGAGTTTTAAAAATAAAACATAGTCATGTAGTTGGTCAATGTTTCAAGGACAGACAAGTTAGGATTAGGTAAAAGATTCCAAACCTTCTCCCTCAAATTCTCCCGCCTCTTCAGAGGCCAAAGAAACATAAGTTTGAAATATTCCAAGATCATCTCGCTCCTCAGGTGCAGGCATGAGTGTAGGAGTCCACAGTGTGAGTTCTTCTCCCCAGTGGCAAGCACCAAAACAATTGTGTAGGATAAACAGCAAAGTGATACTTCAACCACTTTTGTGAAGAATTATGGGCATCTCACCGGTCAAGATGCACAGCTGCCATTGCACTGGTAAAATGCCTCAAGCCAATGCCCTCAAACAAAATATCATTCCATTAGTTACCAAGTACTCACCATGCCTGTGGCTGCTTCAGCTGTGGCATCAGTGAAGGAGAGTTTGTTATGGGATAGCAAGACCATCAAAGCAGAGCTGAGCTACAGCTCCAGAATCTTTATGGATCTGAGATAATTTTGATGGAGCCACCAAGTTTTCCCTGACTCACATCACTGCTTCAGGCTCCCAGAGGAGTGAGAATTCACATCATTTACCTTCTTGGTGCAGGGTTTTAAATCAGAGATTCTTTTTGAGAATTGTTTTAGCTGTACATCTGTTTTTTGAGAGGTGCTAAGAGGCAATCTGCAACTTTGACCAAGGGTGGTTGGTATCCAGGCACCCTCACAGACACACTGACCCCGGTTTGCTGTTTCACAGGACAGAGTTTACACATCAAAACCGAACAACTTGATTTATTTAAAATTCACCTCAAAATGCATTGTGTTTAGTTTCTTTTTTAAAATGAACATTCAAAGCATCAAAATATTACTAATTTAAAAAGAATCTTTGTTAAGAATAAGATAATTTACATACTGTAGATTGTGGCTGTGAGGGGAGAGAAACAACCGATGGTAGATTAGGCACAGTACTAAGGCCAACATGCCAGAAAACAATGCAGCTCTATGCTCAACTTTTAAGTGATCTGGACAAAATAAAACAATTGGGTGCGAAAACTAAACCAACCACTTGCTTGAGGGTGTTTGTGTAAAATGAGAGTGTTAGTAAGTTTTCTATCTAGATCTAACTCATTCATGTATTTAAAAAATCTCTATCTTCTTCCAAATAACAAAAAAAATGTTTCTAAAACCAAGGCAGATTATTATTTGGAACTGGCATAGTAAAATAAAGGATCACAGTATACAGAGCTTAAAATCCTGTACCAGGAAAGAGCAACGAGTGGTTTACAAGGGGATCATTTAGGTATATTATCTAATTTTTAAAAACAGAGATATAAAATATCAGTTGCATAGGGATTTAAATATAAGGCCAAGCAGGAGATTAAAGTAAAATAGAGCTCATAAGAAGGGCACTATGGTGTCAAAACATAGTATTTCCATTTGAATTAATGTCTAATTCAAAATCACAGTATTTTGCTAGTACTACAAAAAGTGAATGTCAAACTGTCCCATTAATCTCAAACTGAAAACTGACATTAGAACTTCTAAATAGTACAAAACTAAAGCTCATTGTCTAAACCTGATCAGTGTATTAGCACAACAGTGCTTGGTACGTACCTGATTTATATACTCTACCTTCTGTAAATAATATAAAGGTTATTTCTTGTTAATAAGTGTGAGATCACAATATTACTGCATGCCATCAGTGGTTTGCAGGCTTACTTGATATTTAATTATTCAGTCTTTGAAAGTGTAAGATCCCACCCTGCAGAATCTTCACCCATTGAACACAGAACACTGTCATTAATAAAATACAATAGAAGTTCCACCACTAACAACTAACATATAAGCCAGGATTGTAGGTCTAAACCCAGTACAGTTCATTATTATTAACTCACAGCAATTTTTGTTAGGAAGGTAACCTGTAGACTTCCAAATAATCTTGTGTGTATTAAATATAAACAAGTATGTAACTAACGGTCGTCTCTTGGCATTTCAAGTAGATTATTCAATTGTGAAAGTACTTCTGCAAAATCAATTTTGAGTTGTTAAAACGAAGTTCAAATATTAATTTCCATATCTACATGTAGCTTAATTAACCTAAAATTGTAAGGAATAGTAGTGTAAGGAAAAAAGAATTCTCCAGATGAATTAGGCATTAAGGTATACTTACTGGGAATACCTGAACCAACATTGTAACTGAAAAAGTGCATAAACATGGTAATACTACAAATGTGTTAACTACAGAACAAAAGGTTTTCTGAAAGCTAAGTGATATTATTTTACATGTTATTTACAGGCTGCGATTTTTCCAGACACCACAGAGCCAATTCATGATCTGAAAAGTTCCTTTGATATATTCAAAGTGTCCCTTGGCTTCCATCCTATTCGGTCAAGAACCTGCTCACACACCAGTGAATCAGGTGCTGTACAGTTGAACAACACTGCCATTGTGGTTCTGTAATTCTTCAGAATTCAATTCTTCCTGTTCTTTCAAGACAGAGCGGTATTTTCACTTCACGCTTTTCGTAGGTGTTTCAGACTCTGTAGACTGTCTCCCATCAGTCCAGGCCTCTCGTGTGCTCTTCAGTGCTAACGTTTTCTGCTGGTCGACCACCACGTAATCAACTCTCTCGTCCGCCACGCTGCTGCCCGAGCCACTGCTCTTCTTCTGGAAAAGGCAAGGAAGAGGGGAAAAACATGTTAAAATAAATTACCAGCAAAAAGTAACTAGATGTCCCAAACAGATATAGAACAAGCAGAGGTTTTCCTGAAAGGTCTGACACTGTCTCTTGGATTGAGAAAGTAGTTAAGCCTTTGAGAAAGTAGTTTGAGAAAGCTATTTGAGAAAGTAGTTAAGCCTTTGACACCATCTCCCACAGCATTCTCCTGGAAAAGCTGGCAGCCCACGGCTTGGACAGGGACATCCGTGCTGGGTTAGGAACTGGCTGGAGGGCCGGGCCCAGAGAGTGGTGGTGAACGGGGCTGCATCCAGTTGGTGGCCGGTCACTGGTGGTGTCCCCCAGGGATCGGTGTTGGGCCCAGTCCTGTTTAATGTCTTTACTGACAATTTAGATGAGGGGATTGAGTCCATCATCAGCAAATTTGCAGATGACACTAAGCTTGGGGGAGGGACCATCAGCTGGAGGGCAGGAGGGCTCTGCAGAGGGACCTGGACAGACTGGAGAGTTGGGCTGATTCCAACGGGATGAGGTTCAACAAGACCAAGTGCTGAGTCCTGCACTTTGGCCACAACAACCCCCAACAGTGCTACAGGCTGGGCACAGAGTGGCTGGAGAGCAGCCAGGCAGAAAGGGACCTGGGAGTTTGGATTGACAGGAAGCTGAACATGAGCCAGCAGTGTGCCCAGGTGGCCAAGAAGGCCAATGGCATCCTGGCCTGGATCAGGAACAGTGTGGCCAACAGGTGCAGGGAAGTGATTCTTCCCCTGGACTCAGCACTGATGAGGCCACACCTGGAGTGCTGTGTCCAGTTCTGGGCCCCTCAGTTCAGGAAGGATATTGAGGTGCTGGAGCAGGTCCAGAGAAGAGCAACAAGGCTGGTGAAGGGACTGGAGCACAAGTGTTATGAGGAGAGGCTGAGGGAGCTGGGGTTGTTCAGCCTGGAGAAGAGGAGGCTCAGGGGAGACCTCATCACTCTCTACAACTCCCTGAAAGGAGTTTGTAGCCAGGTGAGGGTTGGTCTCTTCTCCCAGGCAGCTCTCAGTAAGACAAGAGGGCATGGTCTTAAGCTCTGCCAGGGGAGGTTTAGGTTAAATATTAGGAAGAAATTCTTTACAGAGAGGGTAATCAGGCATTGGAATGGGCTGCCCAGGGAAGTGGTGGATTCTCTATCCCTGCAGGTTTTTAAGATGAGACTGGCTGTGGCACTTAGTGCCATGGTCTAGTAACCATGGCAGTGTCTCAGAGGTCTTTTCCAACCTGGCTGACTCTGTGATTCTGTGATTTTGCTGGAGGCTCCCTCTTTCCCAGCAACTACTTGTGAATCGATTTTAAACTCTTGATGGCAGGACTGCAAGAGCTGAAGATCTGCTTACCTTACGAGGTGGGGTAGATTTTCCAGAATCTAGGTCCAGATCTAAATACTCTACTTGTTTGTCTCCTTTAGGTTTTACCATAGGGCTGCTTCCTCCGTCAAGACTGTTGCTTCCAAACAAATTCTGAAATCATAATATAAATAACTTCAGCTACAAATGTATGTGCTAGTGGTCCACATTATCAAATATGCTTATTATAAAACTGCCAAAAGCTTAAAGGTTAAAAAAGTGACTAAGAGCTCTTGCAATCAGTTAAATCATGCAAATTTCATTGACTTTGTAGAACAAGGGGGTATATTCTATGTCAAAACTGGGACAGAGTCAATAGCCAATGGAAGGGAAAAACCCAGAAACCAACCCCCCAAATTTAACGTTGCCACCAAACCCATCTGTGCCTTCCACCTAATGTCCCCTTCATATCATGAGATAAGAATGGAGTGTGCTTTGTTCTTTTCAACTGTAGTTGTTATATCTCAAATTTAGCATTACTTAATTGCCAACTTTTTTATTTCCTTAAATTGCTGTTTAATACCTACAATAATTCCAGCTTTACAGTAGTGGCAAAACTTCAAATGAAACTTTTACATTTCATTCAAAAGTCATCATGATTAAGCTGAAAATCAAAAAGTATTATTCCATTGTTAAGATCAAAATATTAAAACTTTGGAAAATATGTGTAGGGCTGCCTGAAGTGAATTTGCATTGTATATACCTAAATTTCAATTAGCTCAGACTTTTACAACCTCACCTCCTCTGTCCTCTCCCAGCCTGATCCCTCCCTCTTAACAGGTGTTATAGGAACAGTACAATAGAAGGACTCTTCTCTAAAAGATAAAGAAAAAACAGGAAGACAGAGGGCAGCAGTCAGCAAAAAATGAAGAGGAAGGCAGAAGGAAAGACAGAAGGGTAAGGCTGAGAGCAACTTGAAAGAAAAAGCAGAATATTGCTGATTTTATTAAATAAAACAGAAGTATGACATGTCCAAACAAGATGCTTCGAAGCTGATGACAGAAAAAGATGAAGAAGTATGGACTCCTTGCTCAGAGTTGCAACAAATAAAAATTCTCAAAAATTTAATAGGCAGATTTTAAAACAAAAGCTGTGAGCTATCTGGAAACATTCTGGTTCTCTAGGAAATAAAATATTTTATGGGTTAAAGCTCAATGGGCTGGGCTTTTTAGATTGAATTTAAATTTGTATCATTCAACTCATTTAATATTAAGTGGTAACAAAGGACAACAAACACAGACAATTGATACAAAGTTCATTTTTGTTGCCCAAATTCTCTAAACAAATTTCTGCATATTTAACATACAAAAATCAGATTCTGTATCAATGTTTCCAGCATAAATTAAAACCCCAAAAATAATCTGTTATTTCGAACAAACTAGGCAGGCAGAACATAGGCATTAGAAAACAAACTTTAAATGTAATACAAATGAAACTGAAAGGAAATCTGCAGAACCACCTTAAAGAAGGAACGGTGCAAGCGAACAGAAGATATTAATGACAGGCTGAGCCACGGCATTAATTATACCATCCTGGCATTGGCGTTAAATCCCTGAAACAGCCTTAAGGCTCCACAGAAATCCCCAGTTTGAACTGCGATTCTGTGCAGGGAGAACCGCGGGTGGCACTAATCCTTTGTGTGAAATGGGATGTTTCCTGCGCCTGTGAAAGGGGAACGTCACCGGTTACTTACCAACGGCCCCTGCAAGAGAGGGGCTCGGTTCTAACATCACCAGCAACCCACTGCTGGGGCACATTTGTCCTGGGAAGCACACCTGCACTGCCCGCAGGTCAGACAGGGCACAAAGCACGGCTCGGGATGCTCCGCAGGCTCCTGAGCCGCCAGAGCTGCCCCAGGGGAGTCAGCAGGAGGGGCTGGCTCAGGGGGGCCTAAGGCGGGTATCCAGAGGCAGCAGTGGTGAGCTGAGGGGAGGGAGGCTGGAGGAGACTGGGAGGGGATCCAGAGCAGCAGGGGACAGGGAAGCAAACAGCACTGCGAGAGGAGGGGTCCAGGGTGTAGTAGGGACATGGGCCAGCACATGCCATATAAGGAGGCGGACAAACAAACAGGGCAAAACCGGTGCTAGACAGGCCCTCCCCAAAGAAGGTCATTTGTAAGTGCTTTAAAAAGGAAAAATGCTGCTGTATTTCCCTAGGAAGAGCCCAAGCTGGAAAACATGGTGAAGGCACTGAACCAGGCTGGATGGGGCTTTGAACAACCCGGTCCTTGCCCGTGGCACGGGAGGCTGGAACTAGATGATCTTTGAGGTCCCTTCCAATCCAAACCATTCTATGGTTTTATACTGAACAAAAAGCTGAGCTCAAGATTCAGGTTTTCCTCCAGTGTTTTATGGGCATTCTAGACCACATTTCAGTTTAGGCCTAGATCTACTGCTATTCTCTTTCTTTAAACTACTATTATTGTGTCTTCTTTTTCTCTCTCTCCTTTTCCCCCACCCCCAAAGAAAAACCACAGCATGCATCGCTAACTTTTCCTAACTAGGTCTTCAGTTACTGCAGTGCATGTGAAACTTTATTATCTGAGAAAGTTCTCCCCCAAAGGGGAAAAAATACAGATACTCAATACACACAGACTCCTTCTATCCTCTTCTTTGAAAGAAGCCTAATAGAAGTACACATGGCTCTGTTCCCATAGAATGCAAACAACAAATATCAATCTTTTTTTTTCCCCCTGTTCCTTCCACATTTCTTGGAAGATGTCCTTTTAATACAGTTTTTTTAAGCATGTCTCAGAGGTTTTTAGACAGTTTCTTTCCCTTGATGTCATAATACTGAATTGGTACATAGCCCAAGGACAAGCCATTATAAAGAGGAGACAGTTTCCAGGGAAGAGGTAGAAAAAAAAGTAATGCCTTGAATTGCTTTGTATAATAGATGTGTGTATCAACCATTCTCTTTATATGTGACTATGCTCTTAACTTCTTCAGGGAAATCTTACCAAAATTACAGGTTTTCTACGGAATTTTTTTATTATTATTTTGATCTGGAAGTATCAAGGGAGTGATGTTGAGCGAAGGATCTGTGTTTGCATGATTTAAAAGTAAGGACTGCACAGGAAGAGAGTAGTTAAGACGTAGATTTTACATACTGGGTCTTCAGTGGACTGATTTGGATTCATGGATACATAATTCTCTTCACTGTCGTGCGAGTCACTGCTGGAAGTTGTGCTATGAACTGAATCCGGTCTGGGAGACACGGGAAACCTGGAGGAGCTAATTACCAGGAATTATTTTACAAACAATACATCTCGAATATCTTAAACCTCCTGGTAAACAACAAAAATAAGCATATTAGAGCGGAAATTTTCATTCAAGTTTACTAGAGTGTCACATTTTTTTGGTTATACACAGTCCCTTATATTTAATATTACAAAATAAAAATTCACATGGACACATTTTGTTTCAATATATAGACACACACACACACATATAACACACTTCCAAAGGAAACTTCAATTTGTATTACACAGGTTAAAAATATAATACACACACACATTTATTAACTTTCTAGTGAACAAAACCAATTAATCTGAATAAGGAAAATCTAAGAAACTTACTCTCGTGCAAAGCTTCTGGTGATAGGAGATCTAACTGGGGCTTGTAATTCTTCCCATTCAGGCAGAGGTTTTATTTCTAGTGGAGCTGGTTTTGCTAAGTAAGAAACAGATAATCTTAAAGCACAGAACATTCCAGAAAAAACTTTTATATAGCAAATTTTAAATTGTAAATACTAGTTAGGAAAAGGAGACACTGTTCAGTTCTCAGAAATGCATGTTATATTAATATATTTTTAATCTTTTCAGGTAATGAAAAGCAACATCAATGAAAAAACAATTAAAATGTAAATTTTTAAAAATCCACCACAATTTAAGAATTTTGCAGCATATACTTGTACATAGGAATTCTGTTTTGAAAAGAGATTCTGAAAGTGGCAGCATCAGGTTCTGTCTTTACCCTGCCACAATGACTTGTTGAACTGACAAGCCCAGGATAGGGCTGATGGACTGTTTCAGCAGAGCCAACTCTTTTCTTGGCTCACGGACAGTTATAATTATGTAAAATGTGCCCTCGCTGCCCTTACTGATGAGGTTTCACAACTCAAATTGTGGGCAGAACCTGCAGCTAAGACTAAGTCTGCAAAAGTGAGAGATGAGCCAACACCAAGAGGAGCTTGGCTCACTGCACTGCTTATCAAGAGATGAGCAGAGTGGTGGTGTGCTTCTGCCATGCATGACAGCTAATACCATTCTCAAAAAAAGTGCCATTTTTAAATTCCATTTTCAGAACAGAACCACGAATAGACTACTAGTGAGAAACCCATTATCCCTCCCTCCAGCTTGTATGTCTCACCCCTTCTAAACATTAGGGGAAAAAAAAGTATAAAAAGAATTGTGGGGAAAAAAGAAAGAAAAAAAATTAAACAAAAATCACAGAGTCAAACTGCTGTTGCAGTTTGAATCTCAACTTCATCCTTCCTAAAACTGTTTTTAGAAAATGAAATGCAATGTCATTATAATATCACCCCTTCCTCTCCTTGCCCCCCACTCCATGAGTTTGCTGATTCACTACTGGCAGATTCACTAAGATCAAATGTCAGGCATGTAGCACTAGTTCATGTGGCATAAGAGCTGCCTTAAGTGACCACATGAGGAACTGAGAGAAATCAGTTGCCAGATCAGTGTGTTTGTCTCACAAGGGAAAAGCAGAACTGTACTCATTATACTTTCATTACACTCACTCCTCAGACTGAGTTTATTAAAAGGTCAGCTATCATATACTGAACTTAAGAACTCCAAATTCAAATATTCTGGATGACTATCAGTCTTTGGTATCCCAACACTTTTCTCCTTTTCCCTGTTAAGAAGTGACAATTATCAAGCCTAGTCCAGTAATTCTGCCACTTTCACTCACTTGCTTATAAAAAGCTGCCACCACAGACTCCAAAGAGGAACTACAACTCATCCATCCAGAGATATAAGGTATCACATGAGATAAGAGTGGCAGAACTGAATGTGACATAGGCAAGATGATACTAAAGCATGAGTGACACAAACTGATCTTTGTGCTTGATCTTGAGCTTGGCTCAAGTCCTCTGTAAAGGTCTGAGTCTACCTGGCAGGTATAAACAGTGGGCAAGGTACTGCTCCAGCAGAAACAGAGCCAGGACTTTGTCCAAAGCCCACAGCAAAAATATTACATCCACTTGCAATGGGCTTTAACAACCAAAGGTAAGGATCAGTGATATTTCTGCGAGATTTTTTAACATTTTTCATAATCTCCTCTACTTCTTGTGACTATATGAGGCACCAACTCGGCATGATGGGCTCATCAGACTAATTGCAAACCTCATTAAGATGCATAAACAGATCTCTGCACTAGTATAGAGGCAGAGGATCAATGTTTTTCTTCAGCAGGGGACCAAAGTGAGCTGTGATTTCAGGTTACTGCCTAACAAAAGTTATTTGAAATAACTTACAAGTTATTATATATAAGTTACAAGTTATATATACATGCTTCTAAATAAACAGACAAAAGTAAATCCAAAATATGAAAAACTACAACTTAAGAGATCGGAACACCCACGTCAATATCAAGGAAATGTTTCCGTGCACTGTTCAAGGAAAGCTGTTGCTTGGCACAGAAAATGCATCCATGATCTTAGACTATAACAGAAGTAAAAAGACTATGCAAGAGCTAAAGTTATTGTAGAATAACAGTTTTCTTAATTTTTGCTTCATTTATTTTTATAAAGCTCCATATACATACAGTGCTAAAGTACATACCCTTTCTTCTTGTAGTAAAGTCACCTATGGTTTGTGAATCAGTTCGCTCTAAACCATGTGGTTTAGGTCTTAAAATTTTAGGACTTTGACCTAATTGGTAAAAAGAAGACTCTCTTAATAATATTCTATTTGTAAGTGGAAAATTGGAATTTTGTAAACAAACAGCACAACCCCCTGCAGAAAGATTAATGCCACAAGCATAAGCAAGCTGCTCAAGGAGAGTTTTACAGTCTAGCTGAGGCTCACACTAAGGGCTTAAGCACCAAACCAGAAACAAAGAAAACACTGCATGCAAGTAATATGTTGCAGGCAAGCGTAAAAAGTGTACAAAAAGGCTAAAAAGTGCATCAACAAATACTGTAAATAATCAGTACTATTAACTGGTTTCATTAAAAAAAAAATTCGTATTTGAGGGGTATTGAGCATGAAAGGGGAATAGTCATGTTTCAAATGCAAGTTGAGGTACCCTCAGGGAAATTAAATTCTCCTTAGTCACAATATTCCTTTGGAAATAGTGATACTCTTGGGAGATCTCCTGTTCACTGGGCATCTCCCACTTGAGATGTCCCAAGAATCTTTTTCAGCAATGTATTTGTTAAACTTGTTCCCTAGAGGTCTCCATCTCTCTGTACCAAAGAACACCTCTCTGGCCCTGCAGGCACAGTGGGATTTTCTTTCCACGTTTCCAGCCTGCATACTGTCCCTCCACCACAGCACACCCCAACCTCCATCACAAACGACCCTGTCATGAAAATACCAATAAGCTCCCTACAGACACCAATGGAACCCCCCTGCCAAAAAGGGTATTCTTTAGCCAACATGACCAAACTCTGCAGGTGTTCCAGGTCACATTTTAAATAAACATGATCAACAATGTGCAATAGCCCTAAGCTTCCATTAAAGTCTATCTGAAAAGGTGTTAATATCAAAAAAGGTGAATGCCTTCAAGAGGTCCACCAAGAAGCCTTCTGAAAGGTGAATCTTTACAATAAATCAAATGAAAAGTTTAAATCTGATAATGTTAGAAAATTGCCCTACAGCACAAAATGGAAAAGGACTGGTACAGACTCAGATGTGGGCTGGTACTCCCAGCAATGAGTGAGAATGCTTTTTAAAAAAATAAACTTGGCAACAAACACAAGAAGTTTGCAAATCTCTACCCCAAGGGTTTTGCATATGAAATGCTCTATTACTGTTATCACTGAAGTATTGGGAATAATCAAATAACAACAAGAAAGGTAAACACAAAGGTTTTATACTGCATCTTAACTTCTACACAGTGCTTCTGAGAGACCATGCAGGTAAGATAAAATGTATTTATTTACTAGTAGTGCTGCTTAGTAACTTCCTTAAAAAGAAAAGGACATGGAATTATTTTGACATAGACAGTTCTTTCCCAATTTCAAAATCAGATGCTCCCTTAAATGGCTCGATGTGCCGATGGAAAGGGTGAGCAGTTGGGCAATGCTGACCAAAGACACAGATTGCAAAGTGGAACACAAAAGTATTTCTGTACAGTGTACTGTTGACTGGAGCCAAGTCAAAAGCACGACCCAACATGTTGGTGTACTTAATTCTGAGCTGAACCAATGCTCTTAAGTACCTTGCCTACAACTCTCTGATAAAAGCTGGCCTATATAAAAAGACCAGGACCTTAAAATCGATTGAACAAATGTAGAAGTTCAAATGCAAACACCTCTTATTAAGAACAATTTGATGCTCAATATCATTATGTGATCATATTAATTTTGTGTTCGGCAGTTTTAAAATCTGATTTAAAAGAAATCTGGCCCAATACAACTCAACTTAAAATGCCAATCAATTGACATACCAGCACAGATCATAAGTACAGTGAGAAAACTAGCAGAAGTAAGAGAGTTAATGAAATTATTTAAGCAGTGTGTACTTTATAACCTCTGTTCTTATAACCAAACAGACTGAAGTGCCTGAAACCCGTAATACAGAGATAAGCTCAAGGAACTCATGCCTGTGACTCATTATTTCTACTTATGTTAATGATGCTACGTGGTCTCGTGCAGCCAACCTTTCTGAACTATGATTAGCCCTATTTGTAAAACATGGATATTATGTAACTGCCTGCTTCACACTTAATTTAGCACTTAAAAACCACTCCAAGATTTTCAGAAGTACAGGTCCCTATAATACTTCTCTTCCACATCAGACATAAACATACAAAACGCACTGAGCTTTCATCTCTTGCTGCTGGAAGACTGTTCAACCTCAATAAATGTCATGGCAAAACAGCTTGCTGCTACCAACCAGCCAGCATAGTGCAATTCCAGAAGCTTAATATGTCACAGAGAATTAAAATATTTGAGCAGGGTGTTTTCTTTTTCCTCCCTGCAAAACAAAAACCCAAAAGGCCTAATCTCCGTTCAGGAGCTTATACTGTGTAACAGGAAAGACCTGATACCAGGCAAAGGAAAAGGGGAGGGAGGGGGGGAGATCAAAATCACAAAACTGAGATTATGTATTTGTTTAAGTGCAGAATTCCTATACCCCCTTTTTGCCCATTTAAGAAGATCAAGTGACACGAGCTAGGGCACTGAAAGCCCTTAATAATATCCCTTACTGCCTTCAAAAGACAGAATTTTCCCCAAGAGCACCTCTGAGAAGCAACAAGCTGAATATAATGCAGAGGAGAAAGTGCCTCATCCAGCACACTGATCTCCCTCATCTATCCCCAAATAATCACTAAAGGCAAGTGTCACAGGGCTGTTCTTCAAATCAGCACAGTGAAGGTGGAAGGACAGTGGGGCGCTACGGAAAGCCTGGCTCTGTACAGCATTCCAACGCCAGCAATATTGAGGAACACATTTCCTGTGGTTCCCACAGGCCCAGATTTACCTCATCTCGTGTTCAGGCATTCACAAAAAACAACACTTTTAACTTACACACCTATTCTGGGAAAGATAAATCCAGGGTTAAAAAAGAAAAAAGGTTTTATTTATGTAATTTTACTTTTTTTTAACCGAAAAGGAAATAAATTATGTTGCAACACCACTGGATGCAAACCTACAAGGGGAAAAAAAACCAACCCTAAATAAATTATGTCAAGTGAAACCAACCAAACAAGAAGTGAAAATTAGATGTTTTCACTGTTCAGTCAAGTCACCACCTGTGAAATGCAAAATGCTACAGCCAGGAGAGAGAGAAGCTCAGCCTCTGCACGTTCTATCAGACGAACAGCGCACAAGGGCACTCTGAGCTGAAAAATCACTAATGAAGTCTATTTTTCTAACAAATGGCTGCTTGTACAAACTGCCAGGCAGAACAGGCGATGGTGGCTCCAGCATTAGAGCGCGCTCAGACGCATGAATTCTGCTCCTGGCATTTTGGTGCATGTCAATGCTGCCTTTGTCTGAGAAGTCATCAGGAGAAGAGTCCATTTCACATGTTTGATTTGGTTTCAAATAACGGTTTCAACTGAAAAACCTTTCGGGTTTTGCATCGGCTAATGTATTCTCTTGTTGTTTTCCATAAAACACTTGGAATATAGTGTTGAGGGGAAAAAACGGATCCCACTGCAGCGAATTCCTGCATCGATGTAGGTGGGTCCCAATGTTTTTGTGGACGTAACACTGAAGAGCCTCATCTGTTTTCAGGCTATTGCCTCAAAGCAGCAATACTGAACATGACTTCTGTTAAGGACACTTCTTTCCCGACTGGCGACTTGCTCCATGGCTTGCCGGTGAGGGATTGTACATCAGGAAATTGCAAACATCCTCACAGAAGAGGCCAACTCTCTATTTAAATATCAGCTATTTAGGGCTTAAAATTTTAAGGGAAATATACTAAGGTGACATAAAATTTAAGAAATGTGTGATCTGTTAATGCTGTTTCCTGGCCAACGGGAGTAATCCACATGAGACAAGGAGATCAGACATAGGAATGTTAGAGCAGTGCTCTACTTGGAATAGCAGGGGGAGAGCAAAAGTAAAAAACAGCTACATAAGTGCCCTGCATCCACAAAAGTACTTTCAGAGAGAAATAATAGCAGTTTCTTGTTTCCATTAAAAAATACACATCTTTCCCCCTTTTCTTTGTTACTAGAGGAAACCGAAATTTGCACTGAGGTCAAAGAATTCCCGTACTCAGAATCGCTGTAGATTTTTCCTTAGAAAACAAGGCTGAAACTCACTGTCTTACTCCCACGGGATTTATTATTTGGTTTTCAATTCTGCAGAATAAACTCCCGCTTTCCTTCTCTTCCTCTTCCTCACCCCAGTGAACTCTGATTCCCTAGTACATGGTCTTCAGCACAGAGCTCTACAAATATCCTGAATTTGCTTTTTTATCTCTGTTTTTATAAGACAATTTCCTGCCAAGGTACTTCTAATTAGAAACATGTATTTAGTTATACAACATTCAAATAGATTTCCATAGTAATATCCACCATCAATCATGTGCTTTGTTCTGGTCAGTGATGTGACATGAATGGTGATAACTACAGCCTCTTTAGGACAGCAAAACCAAACTGAAATCAACTTATTCTTCAGTATATGAAATACAAAAAGCAGTCACCTAAAGAGAGGCTCTCCAGTTTTCTCAGACATCTTTACCTTCTCAAAATAACTTTTCTCAGAGAACTGGTACTTTGAATGCTCCAGAAATTAAGAATGAATTGGAAAAAAAAAAATCTGATTATGAAGAAATCCAACTGGATGTGACAGCTAAGGTTCACTGGTATTCCTAAAATATTTGCCAAATGCCATGAAACTATTCAGAGAATACCAAAGCTATTAATCATCAAAATACTATTTGACTGCTCTAATTTGTGAGTAACTCTACATGTCTGTATTTTAAAATCCCCCAAAGCATGATGAACTAAAAGCACTCAATAACAAAGTACAGTGTTCTGGAGTGTTTATTGATTAGCAGTTCAAAGCTGCACTAAGATTCATTAAGTGCAAAGGACTTCAAAAACAAAACACGAAAAAAGTAATGGAATTTAACTTGTTCACTGGAAAAGTAAAGCCTAACATTAAGCCTATAAAAACGCCAAGGGAACAGCATGACAATATGTGCATCAAAAACTACATTTTCCTAAAAGAAAGCAATAAGCACAC